GAGAGGGCGGAATTCTCTCACAAAGAGAATGCGTTATGCGCGGCAGCAGAAATGTAAAAAATATGAAAAATATATACATACATTCATACGGACGTACGTACGTGTGCGGCGAGTACGTTTTTTATACTTTTTGCAACCGGAGGAGAGAGAGTGAGTGAAACTAACAATAAGACGCGGGACAAAAAGCATGGGAAACACTCATCAGCATCCATACGAATTTCGAGAGGCTGCGCGCCGGTAGAAAACAAAAAATACCCTCCATCTCTCTCTCTCTCTCTCTCTCTCGGTTGCTGCTTTTCATCATGTAAAAGCAATATGGAGAACAGAGAGAGTAAAAAGAAAGAAATTAGAGGCGAAGTTTTAATTGTGCCGCGGCTCCCTCCGCCGACGATTTTTGCTTGCTTCTTTCCCTTCCGCCCGCCCGCGTTTCGCCTCTTCGCCTACCCGCCCAGAAATAAGAAAGAATCGCGCCACCTAAAAATGTTAAAATATTTTTATATAAATCTTCTCAAACGCCGTGTTTTGTTTATATATGCGCTTGTAGAGGAAAATGTTCAGTCAGCCGAAACAAATCTTGTTTGCAAGTTATCGCCCGATTTTCGTACCAATCTGTCTCCGCAGTTTTATGGTTCAGAATTCAAGGAAAAAGAGGTTTAGAGAATGTTAAACGCCGATATTATTTCTACGACGCCTATGATTTCTTTCTGCAATTAATTCAAACTTTTAGCCCTGCAATTGCTGTTAATGTAGATGAAAATTTGGCTTTAATGAATATCAAATTTGTTTGTGCCCTTGACTCGTTTTCTGAAAAAATAAATGTTGTGTATTTCCTGGTAGTATTTAGTTTTTTATTAAAGAACATTTCCTGCTCTACATGTTTCAGCTGCAAGCTACATCTCTTAATCAAAAGAACGCAAAATAATTTTTCCCGTTTTCCATTATAATGCATAACAAATGCGACTGACGTTGTTGTGATTTTGGAAAGGAAACAAGGCACTTAAAAAGTAAAGTAAACTTTAATTATAGTTCTCAAGCAACACGACCTGCCTCGGCGGGCTCGCGAGCGAGAGTCTTCGATCAGTCGCGAGCCGCCGTGGCCTTTCTTTCAGAATAATACAAATAGGCACAAACATGTGTACAGCAGATATGGAAGGATGCACGTTGAGTGGCCGGACTATGCTCACTTTCGAAAAGCATAATATATAATTATGTCTATAAATGCGCGCGATAACGCAGCATAAACAATATGGTGGCACGAAAATAAAGGCGGTCGCTTGGGCATTATAACAATTAAGGTTTACAAAAATTTCGGTAAAATATTATTAATTATTGATATAAAAAAAAATTGAGTTTTCATTCATTGTTTGTGAAAATTCTAAAATCGGTTCATTTGGTTTTGGGTCTCAAAGGAGATTTGCTTTTTTTTCAGATGTAAACTAAAAATATAAAATCACAAAATATTCTTATAAGGAAAGATTGACACAAGAAATATTTAAAACAAAATCCATTTCAATCTTAAAGTTAAGATTTTAACAGGTATTATATATAATTTAATAAATCCAATTTGAATAATTTATTTACAATTTGTATTCTTGTAATAAGCTTTTATTTTTCTCGGAATAGTTTTATCTTAACGTTTTGTCACATTCAGTTTTTTGAAAACGCCCAGTGTTTTATCATTTCTCCCGCATCTACGGTTTTCCATACCAACATAAACAAGCGCACATATTTTCATTTTCACAACTCGAGGGTATTAATCATTTGAAACGAGGGGCGAGGGTCGATTCTGCTAAAAGTGGCATTTTCCTGGGCTTAGCTCGAATTTCGAGCGCATCTCTAATTTAGAATTCCAAAATGGAAACGTATATATTTTGTGTGTGCAACAAATATTTTAATGCCTGTAGGCGAGCTTCAAAGGAGATGCCGCGAGGGGTGAAATGTTTTGAGAGCCTTTTTGCCGTGAAATCACGCGGAAGAATTGAGCCGAGCGAGGAAAAAGGAAGCAAATTTCTAAACAATCGAAAACTTGCGCAATCCTGCGCCAAACGACAACAGCCGGGAGAGAAAAAAAACTCACACGCGAACATTCTAATTTGGAAATATGCGATCGCTGTTTGTGAAACAATATGTGTTTGCGAAAGTTAGTTGAACGCAGGAAGAACGGAAAAAATTAAAAAGTCAAATGTTTGCCCAAATACTGATGCATGGATGAGAGAGAGGGAGGCAGAGTGATGTATCACGCTCACGTAAATATTTATCGACGACAGTTTTTTCGGCATTAACAAAGAGTATGATATACGAGCGCATGAATATAAATATGCGGTTTGATTTATTTTGAATGCTTTAGCAGCTGACGACGATATGCAAACCCTCCGAGCGCGTATGCAGAGTTAGAGTGGAAATTTTGAGCCTGCATAGCAAACAGAACAGTAAATAACCAAAAATCATAAATCAACTCGAAATTTTGCTATGTTATGAGTTTAGAATTTAGAACTGTTGAAATTTGCCATATTTTGCATTAAAAAAAATAATAGTTTTATTTTTCAATAAATACCTGGTTTTGGAGATCGTTGTGATGTGCACTATAAAATTTATTGTTTATAGTTCTTGTTAAAAAAATTACAAAACTAGCAAATTGTTCAAATGTCGTCAGCCAAAAAGATAATATTATTGCCAGAGTCTGATAAGGTTGGACGAGAAAATAAATCTTTATGGCACCAATCTAAAAAGACGCTTTAAATTCTATGAAAATAGTATTGTTAACCTTCAAATCTTTAAATGAAATTGATTTAAAAAAGTTCAATTTTTCAATACTTTTATTATTTATTTATTTAATTTATTCATTCTATATTTTTTTTTAATAAATTACGGCTGATTACTTCCAAAGATAATTGCATTTCATCTCCATAAAAAATTCAGGTTTAGAATATTTTTTTTAATTCAATTCAATTCATTATTTATTTTGGGTGATTTGAATTTAGTCGTTTTTTCTCGATTGGGTGTTGTGAGTTGTTTATTTGTTTAAGAAAACACCATCCTGCTCTACATGTTTCGGCTGCGGGCTGCAGCCACCATAACTCATGAGCTGTGAAAACATTTTGATCATTGACAAGAATTAGTAAAAAAATTAACATTAAAAAAAAATATTTTCATTAAAAATAACAATTTTCCAAAACATGTAGAGAATGATGTTATTGTTCTTAAACAATAAACAACTCACAAAGCTCATCGAGGAAAAGCCGACTTTACATTCAAATCACTATGAATCAACCCTTGATCGTGAAATTATGCCAAAATCATTAATCATTAATTTTGGTTCAAACAGGTCAAAACAATCAATTGCGGAAAAAATTAGTTGGGAGAAAAATAGGCACACAGTGCAAGAGAGCAAACTCACTGAAACTTTTTGAATTAAATAATCATAATTCCTTATTCAATTAAGGGTGTGTCAATCTAGAAATGATAAAACTTTAATTTATTAAAATACTGATTAACATTTTTTTTAAATCTTCATAAATGGAGAAAAAATTTTATGTAAATTATAATTTTATCAAAAATCATTTCAAAATGCAGAATAGACTAAAGGCATTTCAGCACTTCTCCATTTCGTCAGAGAAGGGCTGATTTTTTAATATTTCGCGTTTAATGCTCACGAACGTTAAATACAAACATCCATTGTACAGCACATGGGAAATTTTTTGTCACACACGCTCTGTAAAAACACAAATAAAAAGCTCAAATCCGATCCGAAGCATATGGATTTGCTTTTTTCCAGCATATTTCGCCGTCATCCCCGTCATAGGCGGAGGGAAACCGAATTTGGATGATGGAAACAAAAACATCGGGATGAGGGATGCCCACGCGGAGAGGCAAAAATGTGTACAGAAATAATCACACGCGGGATAGGGTGTGGCCCCGCGGGGAAAAGAGGGCGAAAGTGTTGCGCGCTCTTTCTCTCTCCAAAATCGCACCCCAGAATTTATGCGCGCGTGGAATTAATGCGAGCAAAAGCTGCTGCATAGTTTTTTTCTGGGCATTTTTAGAAGAGCTGGTTCAGCTGCATGGCCGGAGTGGACCGTGGCCGCCGCCGCCGCTGCAGCAGATATTAAAACTAACGAGGGGCGTGTGTGTTTTTATGCGGACATGAGTACACGAGGGGTGTAAAATATTATTGCACACGCAGCACACTGGCACACGCGCAACCCCATTATGCACCACGAGAGCACATAAAATTTTTACCAAATTTAATTTCCGCGTTTCAATCTCTGTTTTGTTTGGAGCCGAAAAAGCAGCGCGGCCTTTTCCCGGTGAGAACACCTGCTCTGTTTGATTTCGACTTTTGTTTCACGGCCGCGGTCCAGATTCTCGTTAAACCCTTGGCTAATGGAAAATTCATTTTGCGCCATATGAGGATTTTTGTTGACTCACTATATTTGCCTCTCAAGTCTGTTAATTCTCAAATTATATTTCTAGTAAAACAATTTTTTTTTTAAATTCTCTTTCATTTAACATAATATAAGCTTAGAAATAAAAGGAAATATAACATAATATTTTTCATAAATACAACAGGATATTAAATTAATTTTGGAATAGGTAAATTCATATTGAATTTTTCCTAAAATTCTATATTATAGGATATTAGGATCACTTATTTTTGACCGATTTTAAATTTTAATAAGATAGTAAATTAATACTTCTATAAATCTCCTTCAAGGTTTCATAAGTTTTTGTAGGTATTGTTCCGAATTTTTGAGATTAAACTATTCTACAAGTTATTTTACATTAAAATTTTTAATTTAATTAATGCATTTTTTTTTTTTAATACTTTCAACCACTTTCAACCATGGCAATTATGATTTTATTCATTTGGTTTTTAATTAAATATTTAGGCACAATGTGCTTGATCAATGAAGAGAAGCATATAATCGCACATAACATAAATTTAATTCCCCACAATACAACCAAATTTCGGTTGTATGCAATAATTCATTTGCTTTCAGATACCCTCAATTGGCGGCTAGAGTGCATTATTTTAATAGGTTTGGCGAGTGCGTCTGGTGAGTAAGCAACTCATAATAAGTGATTTAATACAAACCCCCAGACTCAAATTTGATTTTAAGTGAACACCGTTTTTACACCCGTTTGTTTACTAACTCGATACTCACTAAAATCCTACAGCTTAGTCGTTTGAACATGTTGTCCGAAAGAAATACCCTCTAAAACAACCGAGTTTTTATTGTTTATTAATAGGTTTGTACTAACCAATTTTTTCATAATTTAAAATAATAAATATATCTTTTAAAGCCCTAATTATATTTCGTCATCGTCTCTGTGAATGTAGAAATATATTTCGTCATCGTCTCTGTGAATGTAGAAATATATTTCGTCATCGTTTGAATGTAGAATATTTAATTTTAGTTACCTAAAATCGTCATCGAAACTAAATAATGAATAAATTCTACCGATGTAATAATAGTAAAAACACAATTACGAACAAAGTTAATGAACATAGAAAACCATTATGCGTTCGATTTCAACTTTGACAGGGGTGCTTTCAAATTCAAACGCATAATTGATTCAGTATCTGGCTTTTCCCAGCGTTCTTTCCCAAAACCTTATAAACTTCCAAATAAACCAACTCGAAGGTATATTTTTTTCACGGCAGATAATTTGGACAAGGCACGGGCGATGGGAATACATCTCTATGTGGTTGGTGACCGACGGACCACATCAATGAAGGCAGTGATGCTGCGCCGCCACACTTGGCGGACGAGCGGACTGCATACAAAGCAAGGGGTTAAAAGGGAAAGCGTCTGCCAGGCTTCGAAGGAGAAAAATCGTCGACGAAAGCGAGCAGTGAAATTATCGACCTACTTGAAAAATATAAAAGCTTTTTGTTTCCACATATGATATGTATTAATATGGAAAAAAGAAAACGATAAAATAAAAAATATATTTAATTTTTAATTATTTTACAATGAAAAAAACAACAAATTAATGACTAGTTATTTTCAGCATTGTTAAATATATTTTAATTATTAAATTTTTTATCACTTTTTCTCTAATATTTGTTTTAATTTTTTCTGCAAAAAGTCCTATTTTGATGAAATTAATATGTTACATGTTGAACGAAATCGATAAACAAAATTTAATTGGGTCTAATTATCTTCCAAGGTCAAATTGTTAGACTGCAAAATCCCCGATTTATAGGATTCAATTAAAGGCGTCAGCGCTCGCAATTGTCTTTATCTGTCAGTAACGAGGGCGATAATAATAGATAAGTGCACACGAAACTAGCAATGAGATTAGAAACTGGGCGCGCGTGTGCGAATTTTTATATGCTTTTTCGGTCTACTACAAACACATTGGCTCGTGCCACTCATTTTTCAGCTCAAAAAAGCGACGCCTATTTTCAGAGAAGAGCCGTCGGTGCTGATATCATTTCTCCTTGGTTGCCGCCGGGTGAGTTTATTAAATGTAATTATTAAACCAGACCAGTTTTGGAGCTTCCTTCAGAGCATGTGGCGCGATGCATTTCCCTTGATTTGCCACCCACCTGTTTCTTTAAACTTGGAAGGAAAAAAGAACTTTGTAGTGTGCTATTCATTGCTTGCTTATCTTGAAATGGACGAAATTCAAACAAATACTCTTCTGGGCTAGCAATGTTTCAGTTAATTAAATTACTAAATATTTTCTATCCATTTCTGCATACAATTTATAGATAAAAATATAATTTAAAAATATTTTTAATTCACAATTAAATAATGGTAAAAATTAATGAAATAAAATACATGATCCCAAATTTTATGCGGGTTGGTTTTCAAACAAAACAGAATATAAAGTTTTAAATTAAACAAAACTCCAATAATTAAAAGTTTAAATGAGATTCTTAACAAATCGTATCATTTGGCGATTTGTGAAGAGTTTGATTCAAAATAAAAAACTCTCCAATTTGCTCTTGCATGTCAATCAAAACGATTCAACCCCTGGTTCATCTTTCACCCCAATATCGCCCACACATCATCACCCCTATAGATGAAAAGAAAAAAGAATACACGTATATGTTATAATTACAGTTTTCGAGCCCTAAAAATATATATTCATCCGAACGGAGAAAATTTCACTTTTTATTCAGCAAGCATAAAGGACACATCAGAGAACGCGATGAAATAAAAAAAGAGGGCTCTTATTTCCGCTTACATGATGAGACTCCCACCCGTTTCACCCACCCACCCTTCACTCCCACCCTCTGACGAACCCATTCATGAAATGAACGCACAAAGAACGCGCGGGTGAAATATGGTCTGCGAGGTTGGCTGGGGTGAGCGCGCTTGACCCGCGGATCATTGTCGGCAAATGCACCCTTGACTAATTCATTCAGCGATGATGAGGTGCAAACATTGACGGTCCAATTAACAACGATTAATTTGCAGGCAAAGTGCAATTAACGTAGAAATTAATTTAATTTCAATGATTTAGCTAATTCCAAGGTGGCTCCACCTTGAAAATTAACTAAATTATTTACTGAAAGTTTAATTTCATTTAATAAATAACATTTAAATTTTTTCTTATTCAAATTATTTTTTATTTTTTATGAATTAATAATTAAACAAGGTTGTAAGATTAAATAAAATGAAGCGAAACGAAATAGTTATTTTGTATATTTTTTTTTTAATTCTCAATTCATTTGGCCAACACCTCAGTAAACAATTATTAAAACCACACACCTGCCACACTTTCATATAATAATCTTAAAAGCGCTTAAAAAATGTGTCCCAAATAAGCTTTCAACACAATTTTTATCAATAAAACATTGAAGCATAGTTATCTTTTAATCAATCCAAAATAATTTGTATGCCGCTGCCTGTCTAATTGTCTATCAAACTAGAAATATCTCAACTTAGTTGAGTGCGTATAATAATAACTTGTGATATCATAAGTGTAACCATTAGTTTCTTATTTTATGAACATAGATTATTTTATATGTGGTGTGGATCTCAAATAATTGTGGACAATAAATAGTAAATATGCGCATTAATTTGATAAAACTGTCCAGCAAGGGGGACTTGTGTGTAACTGATTGTTGGTTTTGCCTTAATTGTATTGCGATTTCTGATTCCAACGAAAAATTATTCAACACGGCGAAATTTACAATATTATAAATTAAAATTATTACTAATTTAAAAAAATCTCTACTCATAAAATTTTTTATTATCGACTACAATTTTTATTGAGTTATAAAATACTCTGAGTAATTAAAGTATTAAATTTTAATTAATAAAGGATTGTCAGAGATGGAATCATTATAATTTATGTTAACACAGACGCTTCAGTTGGAATGACTCAAATTCAAAGACGCACAGTTCCTCTCCATACACCCGCATTTTTAATTGGTCGTAATTAATTCATCCATATACTCAAAACGCGCAGAGCCGGGCTCTCAGGAACGCTGAATAATTGAGCCGAGTTGCAAAAGCAATCTTGGTGAGTGAGCGCCCCATATTGTCATAAGGGAGTGCGGCGGCGGCGGTGGCGCGCAGTCGTCGTATTTTATCATTACATTAAAATGCTCATGCATCTTTTTATCTCATCTTACTTTTGTTAGACGAAGCTCTAAATCAATACTTTCGGTGCCTAGCAGCTAGCGCGGTGCGAGCCCTTTTTCGGGGCTGCGCGAATCACAAAATTTCACGTGGTGCCGCGAGCTCGCGGCGCTGCTTTTCTGCCCTCATATTATTCCTATGCAATATTGTAAAACATAAAGAGCCTTGCGCGGCGCGCGTTTTAAATGTATAGCTCGGCGTATTAAGCAACAGAAATAGCTCGTTCGCGACGTATAAATTTGTATAGGGGAGGCGCGCACCGCTCGCTCCAGCGGGGCGCAGCTCCGCCTGAATAAATGTATCTCTCTCTCACATATACATACATCTTTTACTAATACCTCCTACTCCTCCCTCTTGTAAAAATTATTGATCTTTGTGATGCTCGCTCTCTCTCATAAAAGGAGTGTATAGTTTAATGTGTGCAGTTAAAACTCTTGCCGGTGCTGCTCTCGGTTCGAATCAAAAGTAAAGTGCAGCCCCCGGAAAAATCCAGACCGAGCGCGCTCTCACAACCCCGAGTTTCCTTTATTCATCAAGTTCCACTTTTGCTTGTATTCCAAACGAGGAAATTTTAATGGAGTCGATAAAAAAATATCTGCTTTCCAAATACCACACAGTATCAGTAATTGGATCATCAATCTGCGAAAAACAAAGTTACATAATAATAATAATAAGAGTAAGAATATGTCTGGAAAAAAGTAAAAATAAAGAACTGCAAAAGCAAGTTCAGTTTTTTTTAGTTTAACTATAGGAAATAATCTAAATCTGCTTCGATTTTAATCAATATTCACCATACTCCAGAAAAAAACCCATAGCTTCTTTATAACCTCACAAATTAAAATGAATGCTATTAAAAGTCATAATTTTATTTTGTTAATTACAACCAATTGTACCAAAAATTTTTTTAATCATCAATTTTAAGTTTGTAAATTAATTAAGAGCTTCATGGAATAGTATGTTCTGGAATAATGTAGATCAGATATATAACAAATCAGATTGAATAATTATTTCTTATGATTTTCATAAAACGTGAAAGGAAACCGAGTAAATCTCATCTTGTCTTCTTACTAATATTTGGTTACTTTCTTATTTCAAATTAAAATAAATAAATACATACATGAAGAAAGTTAATATCTAGATCAGATGTTTTTGAAAAATAATGTTTATAAATATTTATAATGTGGGACTTCTGTCGATTAAAAATAAAAATTATTTCAGTTATTATTATTAAAATATTTTTAAGCTTTACAATAATTATTAATTATAGTAGAACGCCTGTGGTGATAATTTTCATATTTAAAATCTGATTTAATGAAACGATTGAAATCAGTGAAATTTGATATTTTATGATTTATGATATTTAATGCGCAATATTCCATTATATACATTATGTTTGCTCTAAGCTATTAAAATCGTTTATGTACATCGTATTTCTGCAGAATTTCATCCTACACCGTTTCACGCACGTGTGTGTTTGTGCGCGCTTTTAAATCCATACAACCCCCACATTTATTTCTTTGATGCTGCTGAAAGTGAAAAAGTTGTTGCTGCCGTTAATTTTGAATAGTAATCTCTGCTCGTGTCGTGCCCCGTGTTCTGAATAAAAGCGCGCGCACATCAAAGTTTTAACATTCGCGAGAGCTCCGCGGGCAGAATTATTAGATTTCGTGTGTTTAAACACCGACAAGGAAAAAGAGGAGCTTTGCGAGACAAGCGCACACACGTTTCATTACAGTGCTTTTTCCCGATTGGGTCGGCGAAGGAAAATAAACTGAGCAATTTTCTTCCAAGCGGAAATTCACGAGTGCTGGTTTATTTTTGATTCCGTCAAATTTGATTGATTTTGTTTGAATTAAGTTGTAAATTGAAATTACTTTAATATCCAAACATTTATGTATACTAGAAACTGCAAAGCAAAAAATTTAGACCCACTAAAATTTCAAGTGTCATTGAACTGATGGGAGTTTCTTATCAGGCCGCGATAATCGAGCACACACACACTACTCACACCTCATTAGAATCGCAAAAGTTAGCCAGGGCCTTGGCAAAGGTCACCCTCGTGACGTCACTGCTCGTTCTTCGTGGCAAGT